TAAAACTATATAATATTTTTGGAAAAAAAAGGCACAAATAAATAAATGTTCACCTTTTATTGGTATTTAGCCTTCATACAAACAAGAAATGTGAAATCACTGTCAAATAAATCTCAGACTCTCCTTATTAATATTAATATTTTTTACTTCAAACTATAGGCTAACATACCAGTTAAAGTAAACAGTAAAACTTTTATTTTATTAAAAAAATTCTTCTTTTTAAAGAATTCTCTTCTGCTCACCAAGCCTGCATTAATTGATCCAAAATACAGCAAAAACAGTAACATTTTGAAATATTTTTCTATTTGAAAATATAATTTATTCCTGTGATTTCAAAGCAGAGCTTTAGCACCATTACTCCAGTCACATGATCCTTCAGAAATCATTCTAATATTCTGATTTGCTGCTCAAAAAACATTTATTATTTTGATGTTGAAAACAGCGGAGTAGGTTTCTTTGATGAATAGAAAGTTCAGAAGAACAGCATTTATCTGAAATAGAAATCTTTTGTAACATTATAAATGTCTTTATCATCACTTTTGATCAATTTAAAACATCCTTGCTAAATGAAAGTAATAATTTCTATAATATACATTTTAAAAAGAGCTTTTGAATGGTATAGTGTATAATGTTACAAAAGCTTTTTATTTCAGATAAATGCTGATCTTTGGATCTGTCGATAATCAGCAAATCAGCATATCAGAATGATTGCTGAAGGAACATGTGACACTGAAGACTGGAGTAGGCCTAATGATGCTGAAAATTTAGCTTTGATCACATGAATAAATTACATTTTAAAATATATTCAAATAGAAAGCAGTTATTTTAAATAGTAAAAATATTTCAAAATGTTACTGCTTTTGGTGCATTTTGGATCAAATAAATGCAGACTTGGTGAGCAGAAGAGAATTCTTTAAGAAACATTAAAAATCTTGCAGTTCAAAAACCTTTGACTGGTAGTGTAGGCTGATTATTCTTATAGATTGAAACGTGCATTAACCAGGATAACGAGTATGAAACATGCTCAGAGTTGCTTCAGAAAACAACAAAAAAATAGAGCAACAACAAAAGCATGTTGCTGGAAATGGGTTTATTATTGAAAATGCAAACTGATTGTGTGCCAGCAGGAGGCGCTGTGAGTGGTGGAACTAACGGTTTCTCCAGTAACGGCTGTAAACAAAGCAGCTCCGCTCATGAACGCTACTTTATCAGATAAAAATGCCATCTAAACTATTCTGAAGACAGTCGGTTCCCTTCAGAGATACATTCATATAAAACACCCGCGACGTGCAGTGCTCATGTTTATTCAACGAAGTCAAACACCACAAATAAATAAATGTATGGGAAACAATGGTAATGTATATTGAAATATCGGAAATTTGTTTAAAAATCATATCACTGTTATTGAAAAAAATTATATCACGATACATATTGATATTGAATTATTGTCCAGCCCTATGTCAACGTTGTGAATCGAGTGGCCCATGGTGGCGGTGGGGTTATGGTATGGGCAGGCGTATGTTATGGACAACAAACACAGGTGCATTTTATTGATGGCATATTGAATGCACAGAGATACCATGATGAGATCCTGAGGCCCATTGTTGTGCCATTCATCCACAACCATCACCTCATGTTGCAGCATGATATTGCACGGCCCCATGTTGCAAGGATCTGTACACAATTCCTGAAAGCTGAAAACATCCCAGTTCTTGCATGGCCAGCATACTCACCGGACATGTCACCCATTGAGCATGTTTGGGATGCTCTGGATCGGCGAAAGAAAGACAAGCAGGAATATTAGACTGTAATCACTTTAAGAGCTGCCCGGATCTAATATACTGTTACACATGTTTTCTTTCTCAGCTGTTTGCTTTCACTAGAGACCTAAATTACTTAGTATAATTAATTAGAGGATACTTGCAAATGCCAGCATTTTGACACACACAAGTGTGTGTATTTAACCGTTCTTGAGTTCTCTTTCGCTGCTGATTGTGTTTCAATGGCTTAAAATCACTTGTTTTTAAACCGCAATGGTTACAAACGTGTGCAAACAATACACTTTCGTGACCACATAGCACAGTGACGTCATGTGAGCGTGTAACCACGATAGAGAGGATAGTCCAAAATCTCTACCAGTTGACAAAATAATACTGGTTAATCGTGTCTACCAGCATACAGGTGCATCTCAATAAATTAGAATGTTGTGGAAAAGTTAATTTATTTTAGTAATTCAACTCAAATTGTGAAACTCGTGTATTAAGTAAATTCAATGCACACAGATTTAAGTAGTTTAAGTCTTTGGTTCTTTTAATTGTGATGATTTTGGCTCACATTAACAAAAACCCACCAATTCACAATCTCAACAAATTAGAATATGGTGACATGCCAATCAGCTAATTAACTCAAAACACCTGCAAAAGTTGAGTGGAAGGAAAAAGTGTGGAAGAAAAGATGATTTTGTTAAATGTGAGCCAAAATCATCACAATTAAAAGAACCAAAGACTTAAACTACTTCAGTCTGTGTGCACTGAATTTAATACACGAGTTTCACAATTTTAGTTTAATTACTGAAATAAATGAACTTTTCCACGACATTCTAATTTATTGAGATGCACCTGTATATCGCCCACCCCTACACAACACATACCACTTGTTTTTTTATGATATTTAGCCATTTTTAACACTGACACTTTCACACTAGGTGAAAGCCAAAAGAAAAAACAACACTATAAATACTGAAGAAAAAATACTGGACAAACAATTTCCTGTATGGATTTATTGTACAATTTTATTCTCTTGTGAATAGATGATTCTGTTGATGATTCTGTGTTATACGTGAAGGTCACCAGCCTAAACTTGACCAACCTAAAGTTGATAAGTCATGTATTTTCTCCTGTAGGCCTCAAACCCTACTCAATTCAGTTTCCAATCTGGATCTTCAACCACTACACCACATCACCGCAATTTAACGGGACGTAACCACTTCATTGGTCCTATCCGACTCACCATTTCCTGAATACCGCACACCTCAACAAAGACTCAATTTCACACAACAAGATTTTACAAGAAGTGTTCGCCGGATGGCATCCGGGAACAGAGCCAGTCAAAGGGCCGGTGGCGGACAAGAATGAAAAAGAGATTTGGAGACGCTACACTGCCTGCATGGCATATTGAGGACCATCAAAGTGGAAAGAGATTAGAGCGGCAGTGTGATGCTGAGAAGGTCCGCCAGCTCAGACTGAGTGAATGAGATCTGGTACTGGGACGCTGCAATTGGGATGCCTTATTGGACGGCTACAGAATTGTTTTGGCATACCACTTCCCAAGACACTGGATATGTTCAGAATAAAATAACAGTGTATTGCTTACTACATAATATGCACAATGATAATTGGTTCAAGCAGTATATAGTAGTCACATGACCTCTCAATGCTGCATGTTTAATATTGAATTCAGCAGGTGCGGCCCAGTTATTATAATGGCAATTAATCCATGTCATCTTCAGTGCATTGCATTCTGGGACATATTGCCCAACACAGTGCTCTGTTATATGCTGCACATCACATAATTTTTTGCAATTAACTGCATGACTGTATAATGGAAAGGGCTGTCAATTGTTTAAAAAATATATATTGTAGATCATTTAAAATTAATTGATTCAAATATATACTAAATTATACCTAATGCAAACTGTATTCCATGCATACAAAATATCTTCCTATATATTTTTTGCAATAAATTGTACTCTATAATAGATCAAAATATTATTTATTATGTAAATTAAATAAAATGCATTGCAATTAAATCACTAATACCCTTTTTATTCATTATACATTATTTAAGCAAATATTAATTTATTATTAATCATTTTATTCAATTCAATATTCAACCACTATTGACTCTTATTTTTTTTTTTATTATTAAAAATATATTTAAAATAAAAAATTTCTGAATAAAAAGTTTAAGCTAATTCAATATCTATTTATTACTACTACTACTATTATTATTATATACATTGTTTTATATAATGAAATATACTAAATTACATATTAAATTGACAGTCCTAATTCATTAGGTATTCCATACATACAAAATATAATATGTACTTTTTTGTAATTAATCTGAATAATGGAAAGGACTGTCAGTTGATTTAAAAATATGTTGATTAATTACATAAAATTTAATATTTATTATTAATATTATTATATTAATAATAATTTAATTCAATTAAACATCTATGTATTTGACTATTATTTATAAATAAATAAACAGACAGCCCTTATAATGAAAATGTATTAGGTTTCCCAGGTATTCCATGCATACAGAAAATCTGCAATGTATCCACGCTATTTGCTACAAAATAGTAGACCAGTATGGTAGTATGTAATTCCGAACATAGCCAGTGATGTACATATGAAGGACATGAAGTTCAGTTTGGCACAATCAGCAGACTCTCACCTTTAGCTTGCTCCTCATCCTCCCTCTCTTCCTCCTGTGGCTCCTCCTCCTGCACTTGACTGGGGGGTCTGTAAGGTGGGGGGAGGCGCATGGGTGGAGGGCCGCCAGTCTGCCCTACTTTCTGCTTAAAGAGAAAAGCAAAGAGACTGTGAGAGACAGTGTAATGCAGCCCACTGTGGAAAGACACTATAAAGGATTCTGACAAACAAATAAACAGTGAGAGATGAATATGAATGAACGCTGCTGGGAAAAACTCTAAACTTAGAAACCCCAACAATGCATGAATAAGAGAGATAGAGATAGAAGGAGAGAGAGATGTGAATGATAAGAGCAGGAAGAAAGCTGTAACTGAGAGCAAAATTAGGCAATGGGCTATTACGAGAAGTGGTGTCGTAAAGCCACCATTGCTGGAGAAAAGCCCCAGGAGATGGAAATGGGAATAATTTGCTGGAAAGCCACCATTCAAGTTGTTATCAACATCTCAATACAAGTCACTTCAACACTGTTCTATAAATTCATGACGACTATTTACCGCTTGTTCTTTTATTGGACCCCCAAGTGCTTTAAATGTACTTTATTTTGGTTCAGATTTGTTGCTATACTTTGAAATATGGCCACTCGGATGTTCAGAGGAGGAATTAGCATGTTGCTATGTGATTTCTAGAGTGTTCAGAGCAATTTTTAGAATATCAATATGCAATTTCTAAAGTGTTCGGAGTAGTTTTTATAATATAAATGTGATTTCTAGAATGCTCAGAGTAGTTTTTAGCACGTTGCCATGCGATTTCTAGAGTCTTCTGAGAAGTTTTTAGTACATCAATATGAGATTTCTAGAGTGTTCTAATGCCGAGTTCACACTGCACGATTTTAGCCTGATTTTTCACTCGCCGACAGGTTTTGCAAAATTGTCGACAAATGCCCGAAATCGGAGGCAGATCGGTGCTCGTTCACGTGAGTAACAATCACGCAGTGTGAATTATCAAAGACGAGATCTGAGGGAATCGCCAATGCGTCGCTGCATGCTAATGCTAAATATCTGGAGCTGTCGGCGATTCACAATCACGTTGTGTGAAATGAGTTCTGACTGAAAAACACATCGGCGATGACCTACAGCCAATGAGAGAGCACGATACAGGGCAGTGGGAAGTTCGGGGAGGAGTTACATGAAACGTAGTTTGCTGACCAGTGTTGCCAAATCCGCGATCGCCGCCGGTTGTTTTTCATGTCAGCAGGTTGAAGCGACACCAATAACGTGATATGCAGGCCCTGGAATGTGAATTGTACCAGGAGAACCTCACCAAAAAAATTTAATTTTACCCCCCGAACGCGATTTTTACTGGGGGACCCCCTCGAAAGCAATTGGGCTATTTTCAGGCTAGTTTTGAGTAGTAATTGGGCGGGTTTTGTAGCGAAAACCTGGCAACCCTGCACCAGACAGAGCTGTCGGCAATTCTTCCTATTGTGAAGTCATTCAATGTGAAACCCTCTGTCGCTGATCCATCATGCAGTGTGAACACAGCAGCAACTGAATGCTGTTTGAAAAGTTTGAAAATCGACCTGTGTGAACTCGGCAAAAGTTGTTTTTAGCATGTTGCCATGCAATTTCTAGAGTCTTCGGAATAGTTTTTAGAAAATGAATATGAGATTTCTAGAATGCTCTAAGTGTTTTTAGAATATTAATATGTGGTTTCACAAGTGTTGAGTATTTTTTTTAGCATGTTGCTATGCGATTTCTAGAGTGTTCCTAGTAGCTTTTAGCATGTCTCCATGCTATTTCTAGAGTTTTCTGAGTAGTTTTCAGCATGTCGATATGGGATTTCCGGAGTATTGCAAGTCGTTTTTAGCATGGCACCATGTGATTTATAGGGTGTTTTGATTCGTTTTTAGAACATCAATACGTGATTTCTAGAGTGTTCCGACTAGTTTTTAGGACATCGATATGCAATTTCTAGAGTGTTCCGAGTAGTTTGTAGAACACCCATATGTGATTTCTAGAGTGTTCTGAGTAGTTTTTATTACGTTGCCATGCAATTTCTAGAGTGTTCTGATTAGTTTTTAGAACACCATGTGATTTCTAGAGTGTTCTGACTAGTTTTTAGAACATCGATATGCAATTTCTAGAGTGTTCTGAGTAGTTTTTAGAACACCAATATGTGATTTCTAGAGTGTTCCGAGTAGTTTTTATTACATTGCCATGCAATTTCTAGAGTGTTCTGATTAGTTTTTAGAACACCATGTGATTTCTAGAGTGTTCTGTGTAGTTTTTATCACGTTGCCATGCAATTTCTAGAGTGTTCCGAGTATTTTTTGAATGTCAATATGAGATTTCTAGAATGCTCTGAATAGTTTTTTTTAACATTAATATGGGATTTATATAGTGTTGAGTATTTTTAGCATGTTGCTATGGGATTTATAGTGTGTTCTGAGCAGTTTTTAGAACGTCGTCATACGATTAATAAAGTGTTCTGAGAAGTTTTCAGCATGTCGATATGGGATTTCTGGAGTAGTGTTTAGCATTGCACTATGTGATTTCTAGGGTGATCCGAGTAGTTTTTAGAACATCAATATGTGATTTCTACAGTTTTCCGAGCAGTTTTCAGTACGTTGTTATGGGATTTCTACAGTGCTTAGTTTTTAGACACACACTGCGATTTCTAGGGTGTTCTGAGTAGAATTCTAGAGTGCTCTGAATTATTGTTTAGCATGTTGCTGTGTAATGTTTATGGTGTTCCAAGTTGTTTTTAGGCTGTTGCTAAGTGATGTCTAGGTTGTTCTGATTAATTTTTAGCATGTCACTATACAATTTCTAGAAAACTCTGAGTAGTTTAACACTGAAAGTTTGGGGGGTTTGTTTAACAATACATTGAACACATGCTAAATAACACACTTGACCAGCAATAACAGTGTCTAATCAAGGCTAACCATCTGTCAACAGAGCTGCAGCTAGCTCACGCTAGCTGCCTCTATCGGGTCTCTTAGCATTAATCAGCTATTAGTGGCGCTTACAGAAGGATGCCGTAATGTTTCACTGCTCTTGAGAGCCTCACTTGCTGCTGATTAATAGCTAATGAATGATGGAAGAACAATACGTAAAAATAAAGACCACTAATGTGCAAAAGATGTGAATACAGGAATTAGCAGTCAAAGCTAATTGTCCTATGTTGGCAAACAAACAATTTGTCGCACAATCGTAAAACTTTGGAAAAAAATTGTTTATAACTCACTATAAAAGTCAGCTCTTCTATTTTGTCTGTTTCTGTTCCCTTTTCAAAGCTAAATTTCCATTTTCTTTCTAAACATACCACCAGAAATAGAAAACGTATCAAGTTTGTCTTCAGATACGTGCTGAAATGTTAATTAAATTTGCGGGTTGTAATTAGAGGGCCACATATTCTGATTGCGGTGAATAATCACGTAGCCTCGGGAGCCAAATGCAACTAATGGATGAAGGAGCAATTAGGCAAATTACTGTCATTTCAAATTAATTGCTAGATAAAACAGTTTTAATCAAAATACAGCGACACCAGAGGTATCTAGAAGATTTAAAATCAGGATTCTTCCCCAGGTCTCTTGGGAAAAGACACCATTTCTCAGAAACATGGGCTTGCTGGTGCACATTTGTCCTCTTTTCTTTAATTTTCTCTCTTGATTCTGGCACGCAGCGAGGGTTAAAACAGATTGTGATGGGTTGTGCTTTGATGTGAGTGGAATTCTGCCTTAGACACTTACTCTAGTGGACATACAGACATCTTGAAACAGACCCATAATAAATACAGCATTCAGCTTCTTTGCAAAGAGACCCAGATTGTGATCATTACAGGCAGCTGGGACCTAATAACGGATCATTACGGACAAAGCAGTTTCAGTGAGAATCATATTGCAGTGAATGCTGCTGATTCGAGCTCTAGCACAGACAGCCAATATTTTGTCTTCAGATACAAAATATGGTCCAGAAATCTTATATTTAATGAAAATGTTTGTTGTTGTATTATTATTATAATAATAATTAAAATAAAATAGCAAATAAAAATAACAGGACTAGCAAGATTGGATTTTTTTTTAATGATTTTTAAAAAATTTGTATTAATTATATACAGTCTGAAACCAAACCAAAGCATTCAAAAGCTAAATTAAAATAAAGTTCACTTTGACTTTGGATAAACATTGTCAATATTCAAGATTAAAATGTGTAAACAAGTAAAAAAGTGTAAACAAGTATATATATATGTAGCTTTATATGTCTTATGTAGCTTGATGCTAATGTTAGCTCTAATGCACCTGTTACCCTGCTGCGATTACATTTCATGATGTATTCTATCAGAAGAATTCATGTAAAGTTGTAAGAAAATGTTTTGTTTTCTAGAAAGACATTTTATAATAAGTGGATAAATCTATATTGGATCAAAGCAATGTGCATGGACCAGGAGACTATAAGGAGTGAATAAAGATGTTCAATTTCATTGTGTTTAACAACCTAATGTTATATGGTCATGTTCACTTAGGGCCAGGAAAAACCCTGTTATATACTGTATACATATATATGTGACCCTGGACCACAAAACCAGACATTATTTACAACAGGTACATTTTTTGAAATTGAGATGTATACATAATCTGAAAACTGAATAAATAGGCTTTCTATTGTTGTATGGTTTGTTAGGATAGGACAATATTTGGCCGAAATACAACTATTTGAAAATCTGGAATCTGAGGGTGCAAAAAAATCTAAATATTGAGAAAATTGCCTTTAAAGTTGTCCAAATGAAGACCTTAGCAATGCATATTACTAATTAAAAATTAAGTTTTGCTATATTTACAGTAGGACATTTACAAAATATTTTCATTTTCATTATCTTTACTTAATATCCTAATGATTTTTGGCATAAAAGAATAATCAATAATTTTGACCCATACACTGTAGCACACACATGCATGTATATATTTAAGAAAAATATATATTTATGTTATGTTTATATATTAAATATATTTATATATAATATAAATTATGTGAATATAAATATATACATGTAAATACATGTCAATATTTTCCAAATATATACATGCATGTGTGTGTATTTATATATACATAATAAATATACACAGTACACACTCATATATTATGCGAACAAAAACTTTTATTTTGGATGCGATTAATCAATTATTAATTCGACAGCACTAATATATATATATATACACACACACACACACACACACACACACACAATTCAAATTCAAATTAAAACCATGAACCTTGAACCTTAAAACCTTGCTAGTCCTGTTTTTTTATTTAGTTCATTATTTTAAATAATGACACATTAAATCAACAGCCCTAGTTGCAATAACTGTCAGTTCATGCATTGATATAAAATCAGAATGAATGAGTTTTTTGAGACTGGTTTTGTGCTCCAAGGTCACACACATACACACAAACACACATACATGTATATATAATGTGGCCCAGAAGTCTGAGAACACACTGAAAATCTAGCATTCAAAATCTAAATTAAGCCTGAAAATAAGGTTTTTGAACTTCTGATATAATTTATTTAAAAAATGAGTGCTGTCAAATAGATTAATCGCGATTAATCGTGTCCAAAATAAAAGTTTGTGTTTGTACTGCTAATACTTATATGTAAATTTAAACATACATGTACATATTTAAGAAATTACATTTTATTATGTAAACAAACTTTTATTTTGAGGAATGATTAATTACGATTAATTGATTTGACAGCACAAAAAAAAAATTCTAAACTATTATTAAAAATGTTATTAATATAATGATACAATAAAATTAAGAGATCAATTAGGTAAATTTTTATTGCATCACTTTTAAATAATTATACCCATTAAATTTACAGCTCTAGTTGCAACATCTGTCAGTATATTCCCGCAGGATTTGGGTTGAGAAGCCCAGAGCTGAAGGTGAAAGAGCCACAACTCAGAGGTGAGCTTGTGCAGAGCGCAGGCTTGCAACTCACCTGGGTGGCTTTCCTCTTAGCCTTGTGCTGTCCAATGCTGGAGGCCGTCACTGAAACAGGCTGCGAACACACACACACACATACACACAGTTAACCTTACGGATAACAAACCCGGACACATCAGCTCAAGAGATTTGTGCATTCCCAGACTGGGGCTGAGAGCGAACAAAATCAATTATCCCAGACAGAGAAACACATCAATCATTGACATCCCGTTAGTGTCGCTATTACTATTGAAAGTATCCAATCAGGAGGGATTAGCACATGGCATGGGACATCCTCCGTTTGTATGGACGTACCTAACCTGCAGTGCATTTGAACGAAGGCCAGAAAAATCATTAAGTCAAATATGAAACAACAGCTCTGCTCGCACAAGATGCGACCGCAGCCTTGAGGTCGACACAGACAGCTTCAGGAAGAGCTAATACTCTTAAATCACACAGAACCTTAATAAGGACGCTGCTGGAGGCCTGTATACTGCTCTGACCACAATTTTGTGAGGTCTCTAGTAATGCATGTTTCCAACTCACTTTTCAGCTGCACTTCCTATTTTTAACTGCTTTTTATTATTTAAACATTTCGTTATTAGCCAACGATTTTGTTAATGGATAATAAAGTCATTTGAGTACATATGTAAAATGAATGTACATTTTATGTATTACGTATACATATTTACATGCATTATTTATACACAAATAGAATTTTATGACAAAATGTAAGTATTACTATTAAGGTTTAAAAATTGATCAAAGACTTGATAAATCAATGGATAAACATTTTTGTTGAATAAACAATATTTTTGTGAATTTTTAAGTAGTCTGAGTAAATATTTTGTATTTATAATTATTAAATATTATAATGATAATCTATTACAATAATCTAAATGTTTAAAAACATTACAATGTTAAATGTATGTGCATTATACAATATTACATATATATATACACACACATCATAAATATAATATAAATTTTTGTTTAATAAACAATATTTTTGTGTATTTAAGTGATTTGAGTAAATGTTATATGTAAATACGAGTATATATACATGATTTGTATAATATTACATAAATACACATGCACAATTATAATTATTAAATATTATAATAATTTATTACAATAATCTAAATGTTTGATAATATTACAATGTTAAATGTATATATTGTGTATATATATATATATATATATATATATATATATTTACATAATATTCTAAAATGTATTCACCCACATACACACACACGCATAATACATTATTAATGAACTACATTTTATTATAATTAATGCATTTAATTTATTTATATAACTTTATTACATTATCTAAACACTACGATTCCGATAAAGTATTTAAATTATTTAGAAAAGTTCATAAAGTTTCAGTAATTTGAGCCATTTCTATTAATAAATACATATGATTATTTATCATGACTATGTATTATTTCTAGAATAAAAATATTATTACAGTATCAAACTACCACTGTAATATCTAAATGTTATACATTATTATGATATAAATTATAATAACACTAAATATACATATTATTAAAATGCATACAATCCTATTTTTATGATTATTGATTATTACAGTTAATTCTGGGGTGTCTTTTTATATTTTTAACAACTGGGAAAGAGCTAATAACTTTGTTGTGCTTTTTTCCCCAACAAAACTTGGCTGACACAGTGAAAAGATGCAAGAACTACAATACAAAAGCACATTATGGAAAAATACCAGCGGCCACAAGCAATCGAATGAGTGCTAGACCTTTAACGGCAGAGCAGCGTCAGGAAGTGGCTCAAGAGCGCAGCGTCATTTACCAACCCTGAGTGGATTTAATATTGTTGAACTGGAAATGAATTGTCCCCATTTTCATAAATGAGAGCACTCAAGCATGAACCGGGGAGGTCATATCTGAGGTGCACAGAGGCAGGAGGAGATGATGGTGTTTTAAATAGAGTTTGAAATGGCAGGTTTACCCGTGGAGTGGAGGACAGGCTCTGCACGACGAAGACCACGGGACTGGGCGCTGCTTTGATAGCCTGTACTGCCTCCTCATGGTTGGCGTTCTGCAAATCCACTCCACAAACCTATCACAGAGGACGGAGAAAGAAAAAAAAAAAGAGAGGACAGAGGGAGGAGAAGGAGATAAGAGAGGATTTAAAGGGGACTTGCATTTAAAAGCAGGATTTTTTATTTCATTGAGACCATGATGTCACAACCATGTGCACATAATAATAAGGTCATTTATATAAGGTATAGTAGCAAAAGTAATGGAAACTCAATCAGAGCCATTTTTGGTGTATGAAAACTGTCTAAGCAGATTCATGGATAAATAAAAGCTACAAAACACAGAATATGGCCCCTTCAAAATGGTTAGGAAGCAGAAATGAGCAGAATATTACTGTTAACAGATAAAGCGGCTATATTAAGAGCAAACGTGTCTGAAGGTGTCTGTGTGTGGCTCTCAGACCTGTAAGATCTTGTCTCCTGTTTTAAGGGCACCCGTGCGTCCAGCTGGGCTGTCTGGCAGCACCTGTTTGATGAAAATGCCCTTCAGTTCCTCTCCGTTCTTCAGCCTCTTTATAACTGTGCGGCCGCCCACTATGCTGATACCCAGAGACTCCTCCGGATTTGGCAACACCTCCACCCTGAGACAAAAATGAATACATGAATGAATAAATGAAATAAAATGAACACATTTATTGTTACTTTAATATAATATTACAAAAGATTACATAAAATTATAATATAATATAATATAAAATTATGGAAAAAGAAGAGCAGAGGCTTATTTGATTTACTGTCTCTGATACGGAAACATCAAATCAGCACATCACTTCCTGTCCCTATTAAGGTCAACTGAGCTACTCTAGCAGATAAAATAAAATAAAATAATTCCTGCATTTTCATTTCTGAATTTGTTAATGTGCATAAAAGGTGATCTACAATAATAATAATAATAATAATAATAATACAATTCTTGTGATTTGAACAACCTGTCGATAAACAAGCATTTGATTCATCATTTGCTTATTAGTAGCCTTATCACCTTCCTTTATGAACTATATATAGAACTACATCAAAAAAGTTCTTCAAAACAAACTTTGAAGTTGACTTGCAAAAGCCAGACCAGAAAATTTGAAAAAGTTTTAAATGCTGGAAGTTTGAAGTTTCACGTAGTTTTAAAGATTAAAGTTTGAATGTTTTAAAGGTAATACAGTCATAGAAAAACATTAGAAAGACAGACAGACAGAGACAGACAGATAAAGAATATTTGTTACTCATTTTAACCTTTATTTATGGATCTTAGGTTATGTGAAAATAATAATTTGTTAATAAATAATAATATTAATAAAATATCAAAATACTTTAACATGAAAAATCTATAAATAAATAGAAAAGGATGTCACTCCCTCAACATAGCATCATGTGGCCACAACATAATATCATGTTCCCACGAGTTAATAAGTCGTGGCCACGACAAAATTAAGTGAACCAAACATGCCCCCTCCCGGTCACCGTATATTCTTATGTTACTTCCATTCTAATTTTTATTATTAATTTGTTACTTCCTTCCTACAGAAATCTCTTGATTTGATTGTGTTTTACCTGCGTGGGGGACCCCAGTGACTGAACGCGGGCGTCTCCTCACCTTCTCCCTCCTCCCTTTCAGGCAGATCACTGCGGATAATACATTTACTGTATAGTTAAAATAATAAGCATCATACCGTAATTTACCATCAAATTCTAAAATATCAATGATTAGTAATGCCAAAAAGTTTACTTCTACCTGTTGCCTTCTCTGATTGAACCGGCAGCCCCCTGGTTTCTTCTCTTCCTGCTGCGAGAGGAAGTGTGCTGTGCAGATCTGCAGAGAGAAACTATTACAGTCACAGAGGCAGCCTTAGTCGCATATATTAGACTGAATCAGACTCATCAGGCTTACGCAGAATAAACAGGGATTCTGACTTAATCACACTCACATTAATCATCTCAGATCAGAGTCGGAGTTCACAAAAGCAAGTGAAATTATTTCTTAAATATTTCACTTGATTAAACAGCAAGAACAAATGAATTCCAGTGTAATATCAGGGAAGAATAAAGTATGATTAATAATGTATTATGAAGAGCGGAGAAATTCAGTTTTTGATTTAAAATCTCTGATACAAAAACATTAAATCAACACATTACTTTCTGTTCCTATTAAAATCAACTGAGCTACATAAACAGAGCTAGAGCATTCAACTAAAACATATTTTTTAATTTGTTTGTGTTGAGCTGCACAAATTGAATAGAAGATGCCCTATAATACAAATTATAAAAACTAAAACATTACAGTAAATTATTATATTTATTTTACAAAATACATTATTATAGTATTATTTCATAGTGTTAAAATACATTTAATGAAATTCTACACTAATAATATTGATTGTTATTATTATTTAGCATTTACTTATGTACTTATTATTTAACATTATATTTATTGATGTCATTTAACTGATGTTATGTGTGTGTGTTTAGAGAATTTAATATACATTTAATTTAAACAGTAAATATTTTTCATAAATACTTTTTATTATATAATAAAATATTTTCACAGTAAATAAAATAATTAGTTATTCATTTCCAAAAACATGTGCCCAAACAAAACAAAACAAAAGTCACACACACTATTACACTGTTGTCATAAACAGCTGGCCGAGTCTCAGCTGCGTTTCACACCAATTTGACGCCTTTCATTGTGTAGTTTAAAACGGTGTTTTATATCCGTTTCTCACTTTTCCTCAATTTCTCTACCACACCTGGGTTATAGCACCGTGTTAGCACAGATTATCATAATTAACTCATTTTCATAATTAAGGGAAGCATGATCATTTTCTAATACTTGTAACGTATCAAAAAGCATAATAATCTCTAAATTATGATTAACACCACAAACTTCTTAATTTAAATATCTTCTTTTTTACATCTTTACAATTTTAGTTTTTTAACAGCCCCTGTTAAAATTTACTTAAGCACCACCTTTGTCCAGCAGGTGGCGTTATAGTTCTATTAGAAAACATCATCACAGTAACTACAATTCCACATAGGGCACCAATCTTAAAGAACACATGCACCAAAAATTTCATTTAAGTCATAATGGCTGTGTTTAAAACGTTGTCACCTGCTATATGCAAGTGTATTTATAAATAATAAACCAATGACGACACGTCAGTTTATTGATAAATAGAAGTTAGTTGAGTGATGCATACAGACACGTTTGTGTGTTTATTATAGATGGAGACTCACTCAGTGTCTGTGTCAGTCAAAGTAAGTTCTGAGCCTTCGTTTCTGGAGTCAGAGTCTGCCTCGCTGTCTGCTGCCTCTATCCATGTGGCCGACTGACCTGAGAACAGATGTATAAATGTCAAACTGCAATGAACTACAGTATATTAATACTGAAATAAGCCTTGTTTTAAAGGGATAGTTCACCCAAAAAAGAAAATTCTGTAATTAATTACTCACCCTCATGTCGTTCCAAACCCGTAAGACCTTTGTTCATCTTCAGAACACAAATTAAGACACTTTTGATGAAATCCGAGATCTTTCTGACACTGCATAGACAGCAATGCAACTGATATGTTCAAGGCCTAGAAAGGCAGTAAGGACATCATTAAAATAGTCCATGTGACATCAGGGGTTCAACTGTAATTTTATGAAGCTACGAGAATAATTTTTCCGCATATGTTGTGGTACTCTTGTGAACGTGCATCGAAGACTGACACAGAAGAGAAGAAATTGTTGAATAAAGTCATTATTTTTGTTTTCTTTGAACACAAAAATATTCTCGTAGCTTCATAAAGTTATGCTTGAACCACTGATGTCACATGGACTATTTCAACGATGTTCTCACTACCTTTCTGGGCTTTGATCGTGGACTTAAAGAAGTTGTTACAGGTCTGTGAGAGCCAGAAATCTTGCTTGTTTGTAGGTGACCAAATACTTATTTTACCGAGGAATTTACCAATTAATTCTTTAAAAATCCTACAATGTGATTTTCTGGATTTTTTTTCTCATTTTGTCTCTCATAGTTGAGGTATACCTATGATGAAAATTACAGGCCTCTCTCATTTTTTTAAGTGGGAGAACTTGCACAATTGGTGGCTGACTAAATACTTTTTTGCCCCACTGTATATCAAAAGTGCTAAATATTTAGTCTTTAGTCAAAACAAGTCCCAAGAGCTGCGCTAAACTCAGTCTAAGCCTGTTAAAATGTTCATATTTACATAATTTGTGCTAAAAAATGTCACGTTTAGTTGATTCTTAGCAAACTAGCCAAAGAATTTAACTAAACTCAGTCTAAACTCATTAAAAACATTAATATAGTGCTGTCAAATGATTAATCGCATTCAAAAAAGTTTGTTTGCGCATAGTATGTGTGTGTGCTGTGTATATTTATTATGTATATATAAAATACACACACATACAGTATATATATTTTGAAAATATGTACAAGTCTATTTATATTCATATAATTTATATAATAAATAAATAAATATATTTAATATATAAACAAACTATTTTTCTAAAATATATACATGCATGTGTGTGTATTTATATATACATAATAAATATACACAGCACACACACATATGTAAAATACTTTTATTTGGGATGTAATTAATCGTGATTAATCGTTTGACAGCACTAATATTTACATAATTTGTGCACAAAAATGTAATCTTTAGTTGATTCCTAGCAAACTAATCCAAGAGTTTAACTAAACTCAGTGTAAACTTGTTAATTGCTCATATTTATATATTTTGTGTTAAAAAAATGTCACCTTATGTGACATTAAATTAATTCTTAGCAACCTAAATTCTTAACTAAACTCAGTCCAAACCTGTCTAACTTTAAGTATTACTTTCTGAGGAGATCATTTTCGGTCGAAAAATCCCTTTAATCGCACTTTGCTAGTAATTTAGAAATAGATTCTTAAGGGATTTGAACCCACAAACTTTTGGCAACCAACCTAAATCCTGAACCACAAGGCCACATCTACCAAATACAAGCTAAACTTATTTAATATGCTCTCAAAAAAGTTCTGTATTAAACACAGTCCAAACCTGCCCAACTTTGTTTAGTTTTTAGAGTCAATTCCCCCCATACCGAAACTCTTTTGACAGCGAAACCCTATACTACTTTATACCCCTTTTTAACATTCCTCCCCCCTAAATCATCCGCTAACAGAAACGTCTGATGTTGGAGTGGGCGTGGAGGGTAGAGACATCTCACCTCCTGTCTGTCTGCTGCATACAAAGCAGCTCTTTCTATCCCTGCAACAGGGTGCCGGAGCTTGTCCTCCTCTCCCTCTTCCACACACTTACGGATCATAAGAGCTGAAAGCGCACTTTTCCCCTGCGTTGCTCCAACAAGCCGACTCAGCGCCTTTCTCACTCACACACCCCCCCCCTTGCAGCGAGCAGAACCAATTTGCCATGAAAAATGTGCCGAGTCTAAAATCTTAATGGCGCAATTAGTCTCGTTTTGAGTAGATTTACGGCAGCACTTGACTCGGCCGCCTCAATTACATCTTTGCTAAAATTCAAGGATAATACGGTACATTTCAAAGGCCCATAGAGGGGGTCATGCATCACCTCCAAAAAGATCCCTCTCATGAGGCTCGCTCATTTGTTCCTCTTTTTCCTCGCTCATCTTCTTTTGCTCGAGCTCTTTTTCTTTCTGGCTTCAACATATGCTCTCTTTGTTAATAATAACTGTAGTCGGGTTCTTTTGCTACATATTGATGGACATAAGTGTGTTTTCGGATGCTAGACCAGGGGTCTTTAACTTTTTCTCATGACAACAACAAAACATTTAGCCTAATTTTAGCTTACTAACTTCTGCTTTTGTTAAAGCTAGCTTAATATTGTAAAATAGATCAATCTATAATTGGCTATATTAATATATATATATATATATA